ACCTTAATTGGGAATGAGGTTGTTGCATTTTAATTTGCTAAAATATACAGAAGTAGCATGAGCCCTTCATGCAGTATGACAGTTGTCTTTAAAAGACAGACATTTAGACAGTTAAGAGGGAAGACACTCATGTGAAGGCAGCAGCAGAGACTGGAGTTTCCCTGGCTTAAAACCCAGATCTCCTGGAGCTGCCATAAGTTGGAAGAGGCAAGGAAGGGTCCACACCTAGGGGCTTCAGAGGGAGCACAACCCTGTCAATACCTTAAGCTTCGATTTCCAGTCTCCACAATTGCAAGACAATACATTTCTGTTGTTTCTAGCAACCATTTGTGGCAATATATTATGGCAGCCTTAGAAAACTAATACAGTTGGTTGAATTCCCTAATCTTCGAGCATTTGAGGTTGGGACTTACTTTTGTAATCATCACTTTGCCTAACCCTTAGACTTAAAACTGTACTACATTTTCAGGCTTTGAATTTTTTTTTCCTTTTTTAAGTATATTATACTTAAAATATAATATAATGATGATCCCCCAATATTTTAGAAAACAGAGGTGTTGGATATAATGTATACCAGTTTTCAGGAGCCAGCTGTTAAGTTCTTGGGAACTTCTGCAAGCTGGTTGCTAAAGAGAGTCATTATTTTTTAAATTACATTTTCTACACTTTAAGTTAGTTAAGTCATGCTAAGACCAAGGTAATATAATCAAAAATCCATCACTTCCCAATTATTTGAATACATTTTACTATGATAAATGCTCTTGACTTTTCTTTTGCCTAATGTATCTATACAGTGGAAATATTATATAATACTGTCCTATCTTCTATCTTTCCCCAACTCATGTCAGCTACTTGAAATCTGTCATTGTGGTAGCATTACACTATGAAAACTGTCAAAAACTATACTTCAGTTATTTTTATATTTCCCGATAGCTAGAGTTAAACATTTGCCAGCACACCATTGAAATAACCTGTAAGAGTCTTCTATGAGACAAATTGGCATGGCGACAGAGAAACACACCAAGGCTAGCTTCCTTGAACACAACTGGGTTAGCTTATTTTCTGGGCCCTACCTTTCTGTAGGAATTTAGAACTCAGGCAAGCACGGAAAAGCAAATAAAGGACTCAATTACAAATAATGAAGGCAAAGAGATTTGACAGGGATTGTGGAGAGGGGATACAGCAGACTTAGATGCTGGTGACCTACTTTTCTAGTATTGTCTACTAAATTTCCCAAGGAAGTGTTTAGCTGTGATTATAAATATTAATTAGATTCCGATGTGTACTATTTAAAGGGTCTGTGCTCCTTAGGGAGAGACATTTCAGATAGATAGATTAGATAGATAGAAGATAGATAAATAGACAGATAGAATAGATGGTGATAGATAGAAATATGTATGGCATACTCATGTATAAGTTACTCACTTTGATAATTAACTATATTATTTTATTTAGTAAAGCAGACCCAACTTAGCTATAAAATCAGAGCCGAAATAAATGCCTCTATAAATAGGATAAAATCTTCATAATTTTACTAGATTCAAAATTCTACAATATATGGGTGGGATCAATATTCTTTTGTTTTGATATAAACATCTTCCTTGCTAAGCATATCATCAGTTGAACATCAACACCAAATATGTATATATTTGTATACTTATATGTTTAGCTCAACAGCACCAAAGTACATTTAAAACAAAGATTCAAGAAATTTGATACCATTAAACACTTACTTCCTAAAATTCTTGAGAGTAATTGGAGGCTGTTAACTGTTTGATATTATTCTCCAATGTGGGGCGTAGAATCTCAGGTTAAAAGGTCTTGACCTAGTCCTTGAACCCTGTGCCAGCAAGAAATGGGAATGCTGTAAACTTTCAGTCAGTGCCAGAGAGAAGGTGGAAGGCCTTTTTTCTTTTAACCATAATGCCAGCAGCAGATGAAGGAGTGGCATTACTCATAGCATACAAAGTCTTGCTGAGTCGGCTCTTGCTCTAAGCACTGTGCCTCATACCAGGAAGGGTTCTGAGTGTGGACTATGTGAAATGTGGATGGCATCCCTCTGATTTTGTGACTGAGTCATTCTTTAAAACCTGTCATCTGAGTTCAACAATGTCCCTGTCGATTGGTGATGTAGCCACTAATTGTTCTTTGTGAATATAATTCTGGCAAGAACTCAGTCTCTTGAAGTTCTTCATAGCTAATACCACCATTCTGAGATTCCTTATGTATTTTACATTGAAAAGAAGATAAATCAGCTCATGCATACAGTAGACAGAAAAGGGAGTATGTAATAAAGTAGCCCAAGTCCAAAATATTATTTCAGAATATAAAATGTGTGTACATCTCAGATATTTTAATTTTCAATATATTAAACATGGAGAGGGCTCTCCCTGGTGGGGCAAGGGGTTAAGATGCAACCTATGAAAACTATCCACAGCCATTGAAGCATGAGTTCGATCCCCGGCCAGGGAGCTACCCACATGGCACAGCAGACCTCTCCTGACTCGCCTGCTTCTCCCCTCATCAGTGTATTTCAGTCAATCTGCCTGTTCTGTTCCCCACTCTGTCTCTGGTGAATCTTCTCACCACCCCCCACACCTCTGGCCAGTACCACAATTCTTATATGCATAAATAAATAAATCTTAAAAAAAAACATGGGGAACACCTTGAGTTTAGGTTAATGCTGGCAGATACTATTATTTAACGAAAGAAAAGACAGATGAAAATAAATAAGAAAGGTAGGAACAGAATATTCCTACAAAGGTAGGAATATTTATTTATTGATAAATAACAAAGGTAGGTAAGTATATTCTTAGAACACACTTCATAAGAGTAAAGTAATAGTGAGAGCTAATTTTTCTTCAAAAGTTTACATGTGTTTTATATTGCACTGATGCAAAGTATTACTTTACATGTAGGTCATTTTTTTTTTTTTTTTTTTACTTTCAGAGGAGTTTTCCCTGCAGACATTTAAAACACACTCAAAAAGGGGCCTCCCCAGTGGCGTGGTTGAGCGCTGGGTTGCGAAGCTGCCCGCAGCCTCTACAGCGCCGGTTTGATCCCCGGCTGCTCCCCGGCCACCAGAGGAGGGTCCCACATGGCGTGCAGACCTCTCCTGCCGCCCGCTGCTCCCCTCAGCAGTGTACTTTGGCCCTTCTGTCTGCTCTGCTCCCTGCTCTGGCTCTGGTGAATTCTCTCACCCTCCCGTGCTTCTGACTGTACCCAGTGCTTGTATAAATAAATAAATAAATCTTTTTTTAAAAAATAAAATAAAACACACACTCAAAAATATTTTCTATTTTAAGTTATTATCTTGAATAGCAAATAGCAGTTTTACTGTGACTCACAGCAAAGGAGGTGTTCCATTTTTGTACGGTTAAACTGAGGAAAATTTGACAAAAAACTTTTTTAATCAACCAAGTACCATGAAGATATTTCACTTAACTATTTCTTTCTGCCAGCCCAATGCTGAACTCGGTAAGCATTTCATAATAGAAAACTGCTCTTGACTGAAATGCTAGTCTTCCATAATTACAAGTCACAGTGTAATTCTTAGCCAATGAGCTTGTGGTTTTCCAAATTTAGGATAATGCAAGTTGTATTATCAGTGAGTTGAAATTTACTCTCGTTCTCCTTTGATTCCATAAATGGTTGTTCCAAATTTAGAAATGGGCCACTTAGTTTACAACTATTTTCTTCTTCAGCTTTTTTTTTTTTAAGAGTGAGAATTAACATACAGACTTTGGGCATTATTGACAAGCGAACATCAGCAAGTTTCATGCTAACATGAAATATTTCATTCATCAGACTAGTTTCCTATCCTGAGGTTGTCTAAATAAGCAAAACTAAAAAAAAAATCAACCCTGAGAGCTACCTGTCTTATGTGTTAACAAGTATAAAAACTTAGTGAATGAAAAGAAGCCCTAAAAGAACCAAGAACACAAATACTTTTTTCCTTTAGAAACAGAGGGACCTATATATGGAACTCTTCCAGTAGAAATTCAAAATTAGTTGAAAATAGTATCTCCTTGAAGATTATGAACGTAAACTCTCAATGGTAAATCAAACCTATAATCCATGTAGTTTACAGTAGTTTGCAGAAATGTCTGCAAATCCAATTGCACACATTTTGAGTTTCTTCAAAATAGTTGAAAAATATAGAGAAATCATCATAGACACCTTTTTCTTTTTCTTTTTTTTTTCATCTTGTTGTGAAGTGGTATCTTGTAGTTTTGCTTTGCATTTCCCTAAATAGTGGTATCCTAAAATAAAGTTTTTAATTTTTAATAAATATTGGAAAACAGTGTATTAATGGACCATAGTTTATTATAGTTTGCTCTGTCAGTTTGAGACAGTTTTGGATTACAAAGGTTAGAAGAGCCTTGCTTACTGCATTTAAGAAATGTGAATGATATATATAATATTAGATCAAATCTTGCTCTGCATAGACACCTTTTTCTACTCATTATGCTCACTTACTTTTTCTCCATAATTGAAGTATCTCAGCAAATTCCTCCCTTTGAAATCTATCAATAGTCATATAAATTATTCTATTTAATTCTTCACTTCTGCTTGCAATGACATACTGTACCATTTGGCAAGACGATTAATTTTGGTTGTACGTTCTCATTGAGCTGTTAGTGAATTAGTTCCATTCTTTCATTTGTATAAAATTATTGGGAAATGCTTCTAAAACTAGATTTTTTGTCCTATAGGAAGATGGGGGTGGGATGGGAACTGACTTCAAATTTAAAGTCATTCTCTTGCCTAGAATTTTTGCTGTTGTAAAGGATGTAGCCACCAGGCAATTTCACATGGAAAGCTAATAAATCTAATGCCCCTATTAGATACTCCCAAGTAAAAGAAGGATGCAGAAATTGCTACCAGCAGCAAGTTTGGGAAATTTCCGGTTGCTCCTCTTGTCTGTGATATACGGTACAAGGGTTGGCCCTGATTTGGTCCACCTGCCAGCGGAGTTTAAAGTTTCTGAGGCTCAGAGGAACACAATGACTTGGATCAAACTGCTTAAATGGGAAGAAGGGTATTTCTGCTGCATGGAGGAAAACAGTTAAACTCCGCCTAAACTAGCTCTCTCTTTTTAATGCGTCCCTGCGCACGGCCGACCTCCTCCTTCAGTGACCAGAGATGATTTTGACAATCCAGGATATTCCGAAAGCTTGGAGACATATGGCTGGAAAATGAAAGGAACCCTGGAGTGTGGCCACATCATTATTTTGGGTCGCATGGCACCAGATGGGCAGTCAATGGATGGCGCAGGGATTCGAAGGGACAGTTTATGAAATGACTTTCTCCACCTACATCTAGAACAGACTTTTATTTCCCTCTTTTCTTTCAATCTGGAATCACTGCTTCCCCCACATCTCCTCTGCAGTATCAATTAACTTTGCAGTGGGGTGGCTAAAAAGGAAGAGGATAAAACGGTCTCTATAATCTTAGTAAGTGTCCGCGGAGTCACAGTCCCCAGATCGCAGTGCCCAGGGAACTGCAGCTGCGACCTGCAGCATCGGGTGCAGGTTCAGGGCTGACACCGCGCAGGCGGTCATGGAGCGGACTGTGCACTCGAAGCGCCGCGGGGGATAGAGTCAGACCCGGGTGCGGGAGGGGTCTGCTGAGCTCGCCACAGCCTCGGAGGCCGCTGCTGCCTAACGTCTACTGTGCTTTACCATCATCGGCGTTCTTTAAAAAGTCATGGAAGACAGCCAGCTGCCAGACCTCAGAGACATCGAGCTAAAGCTGGGGCGCAAAGTACCAGACAGCCTAGTGCGCTCGCTCCGCGGGGAGGAGCCGGTTCCTCTGGAAAGGGACAGGGACCGCTGCGGGGGCAGCAGCAGCAGCAGTGGCGGCTGCAGTAGTAGCAGTAGCAGCTGCAGTTTGCCTCCCTACGTGTCCTGCTCCTCTTCGTCCTCTCCAACCTCTGGCTCCCCGCGACCGAGCCACTCCAGCACCCTGGAGAGGCTGGAAACCAAGCTTCAACTCCTCAGGCAAGAGATGGTGAGTGTGGTGCGCCAGTTGTGGGAGTGGTGCCCCGGTACTATGGGCCGGGGGTTGGGGGGAGCGCAGCTGGGCTGCAGTGGAGTGCTGGTAGCTTGGGAAATGCGGACTAAAGCAACGCACAGGGGCGCGGGTCTGGAGACAGAAGCAGCCGGGCGAGCCTTGTTTACCCTGGACTTTGCTCTGTCAAGGTTTGTTAAGACAGCGGTTCCTGCCCTGCTCTGTGTACTTTCTGATAGCGCCAAGTAGCTGCTTTTAGCTCAGACCTTTAAGTTGCCAGGGCGCAACCTCTCAGGCAAGGATTTGCAGTCCTTGGACCCATTTGGGGCCTGCCATGCGTGGTTCACACTTTCTGTTCAAAAGGTGGGTGGCTCGATCCTTTGCACTCATGCAAAAATACTTCCTGGTTTGCCCAGAGGTGGCGTGGCCGGATCCTTGCAGCCTGCCTTCCTTGCTTACTCGTCTTCCACCACTACCGCCCAGGCCTCCCGATGCAGCATCTGCAGCTGTTCAAGGCCTCGGTTAAACTGGTATTCCACAGCTGGTTCTGAAAACAAAGGCCCACTCGTCCTTGATGTCCTTATGAATAGCTTGTTTCACTGTTTTGATCCCAGGGAGCAGGTGATGCCTAGAACTGGGGATTTGCTAAGGACCACTTCCTACCCTGCCCCCTCAATCCTCAGCCTGCAATTGTTTTCTGTGCTGTTTGCAAACGTTAGACTAAGAATAAGATAATGGGACTAATACTGGGTCTGAGTATACTTGTTATTCCGGATGTACTTAGAAACATTTACTTGCCAGGAGCTCTTGGGCAAGTCCCTTCGCTTCTATGGACCTCAGTTTATCTGTAGAATGAACTGGCTGGAGGAATTGATTCCTTCCTAAAGCCTTCAAAGAAAATGAACCACAAGCAACAGCACTTTCTACTAGCTTGGAGAGAAAGAATGTAATAAGTGTCTCAGTCACCCAGAGGATATTGACAATATTCTACATAGATGACCCTACTGGGGCTTTGCATTAAAAAGAAGAACCAGAAGGTTTTCTCTGCTCATTTTTTCTGCAGTTGGAACACTTGGGGGGAATAAATTCCATAGCATTAAGTAATCTTGGCAAGTGCATTTGTGTAAAACGAAGCTCTTTAGAGATCATGTCCTGTGTTCACCACCATACACAAAGAGTCCAGGATATCACTCTAAAAACCTATCACTCTAAAAACCTTTAACGATCTCAAGATCTTTAAAGTTGTTCTACTTAAGGACTTTAGTTTTGATGTCTCAATGATGCATTTTCTTCCCACTTGGAATGTTCCATATGTGAAAATGTGTATATAAAATATAAGCTTTTATATGTACCTATATAGATGTGTGTGCACATGCATGTGTGTAAACATAATTATATATGTACCTACATAAACATGTTCATAAATTGCACATGTGTATATATCATACACCATGTGTAATATAACGCAAATTATTTTTTTTCTATATCCATCTCGACTATCTAAATACACACAATAGGTTGTAAATATTAGTTATGCATTTACTGTATGTTGGTAATTAACTGGGTGCTAAAAAAAATGGAAAAAGTCAAGGATCCTGTCTGTTTAGGCCTTTAAAATCTCTTGCACTCATTTGACATTATTATATGTGGTTGGAGAACTCCATAGGGTAAAAAAAAAAAAAAAATCTGGTTATTTTACACTAAAAACACTTCCTAGACTTATCTATTTTTCTTAATGAAAATGTCAGAGTTAATAAAAATCTGTTTCCCCAACCAGATCTTTCTAGGTATGATGATTATGGCATATCAATACATTTTAAAAAGCAGACAGAAACAGTAATAATAGCAGTGGTAGATTGCTAAATTGACTATTCATTGCATTTTATATGTGAGACACCAGTGTCTATGGACATAGGAGAATTTATGCCAGAACAGATGTTTAGTGTTCAACTTTGTACTCTAAAAAAGGTCTCCATTGGGTCAATGATAATATTGGCTTTTCAGAGTTTAGAGAGAAGGGATTGAAAACAGGTATATTCCCTTGCTGTTAAGACTGGCTTCTCCCATTTTACATAACTCTTGTGAGTACTAAAAAACCCCAACTTCAGCATAATTGCAAAGCAACAGATTTGTTTTTATGTAGACTTGGCAGTTTTGTCATAAACAATGAACAGATACACTTCTGCAGTCCTTCCTGTCTCCTCCCCACATCACATGTAGAGAAGTAAGGAAACAACAGTTGGGATATAACATCTTCATTGTGACTTGTATGTCCTTTTCCTCCTTACACTCTAAGCACAGAGTTAACCTCCTTGGTTATTAGGCATGACCCTGTACTTCATACTCACCATTTTTAGGGTTCACAGATTTTATCTTCTGGATGGTCTGGAATGACCAGCTTCAAGGTCTGTCCTTACAACTCTTTCCTACAGAACACCTTAGTCATGCACAAGTTTTTCTAGATATCAGGATTAAGCCTCCCCTCTTTTCTATCGGAATGCACGTGCATGTGAGCCAGTATAGCATAGACTTGCATGGAGGTATCCTCACCACAAAGTTCTTCACATGCACATGGTTTGATCATGGTCTCTCATCTCTTTTTATTCCTTCATGGATAATCTCCTTACCCCTAATTTTGAAGTTACAATCAATGCTTGTATTGGTCTGAGAAACACAATATAAAGAAGACAGGTGGAAAAAGATTGACGAATAGGGAAAAACTATTTTTGTGGCCCAAAGTCTTAATGCTGAATCCTTTCTTAACAACATAAATAGCACCACACATAATAGAGGGTGTAGGAGGGGAAATACAGGAAAAACATTTTGCTATATTTTATATAATAGGCCTCTCCAATGTAATGATTGGAGTGTTTGGGGAAGGGCATAATTTTTCCAATTATGTTAATTATTTTTATTTTGAATTTAGAGATAAGAAAATTTGGCAATGCACAAGCAAATGCACACACACACACACACACACACACACACACACACATATATATATATGAAATTTGTAACAAAAGTGGAAATGGATGTCAGGCCTCGTATAAAATCTGTCCAGTAATATGTGTTCGTATATTTCAGTTTGCCCTTTTGCCTTAATATCTATTCTATCATTTGAGCCTAAGGTCATATTGGGAAAGAGAAAGTATTTTCATTCACATTTTTCAAGGTCACAGAGCTCATTAGTGAACAAAATCACAAATTAAACTAATCATCTGCTCTATATACTGTGTTTTTCCTCCCAATATGGTCTGTATAGCTTGTGTTCCAATAATTTCTCTTCAAAATATAGTATAGTTTATATAAATCTGTGATATCTCAGCTCCCCTAAAGTACTAAGGGACCAATAAAAGAAGCTCTCTGGATGTATATCAGGGGGGTTTCTAGATACAGATTCACTCAATAATCAACAAGTATATATCAAGTACCTACTAAGTTCCAGGCCTTCCTGTAGAGTCTGAAAATATAGAATGAAATGGTTATTTTCAAAAGTCACTCTTCAGAGGTCCTGTCCTATTCAGAGATTTCATCCCAATCTCTATGCAAAATACTCTGTGAATTTTTTAAAGTATTTTTATCAAACATTACTCTAAATTTTGATTTAGAATGTCTCATTTAAAGTTTATTCCCAGTAAATGTAAATAATGTGTCAAAACCTGTGTTTTGTCACTTAGTAATAAATGCTACATTATACTTTTCTCAAAGGTTCTTAGTGTATTATCAACATGTCCATATCATGCCTCTAGTTTGAAAATGAAAATTATTTTATCAATTTATTCTGGAAAACTTTAAGTGCCTAAGATTATAAAGGCAATCACGAAAGAATGGGAACCTGGATTTAGAAGTCTAAAGCACCCTTCCACACTTGCCTATTGTTTAGAAAATCATAGTTTCGATTGAATGAAACACTACCCATTAATGACAGATTCTAGTTCTAGTCAATTCTGCATTATGTCAGAATGCTTTCTAATTTTCACATAATGCAATGTCATTATGAAAGTAATGTGAAAATACTTTTCCTGATTTTCATATTTTGGCAGTTGTTTGCATAGCAGCTGTGTTATAGTGACTAATAGAATAAACAATCGCAAACTAATTGCTTATCTTTCCTTACTATTAACACAATCAAATTACTCCACCCAATTCCTCAACTCTTGCTTTAATAAATATTTCTAGGCAATACACAGAACTATACACGAACACACATACATAACACACACATATAAATGATGCTTATAGAACATTTATCAAATATCAACATTTTTTAGAATAGTGAATTTATACTTAGTTTTTTACGGATATTTCTTTTGTTGATCTTTTCATCTATTCTCTACTATGTTAAATGTCTCTCATATCTTATATCAAAAAGAAAAATATTTTTACATTTCCTCAAAAAGGTAATTTCATAAATTAACTTCACAACTACTTTGGACATACTTCAAAGTGGGCTAAGAGATTTCTATCAGTTATTACATCACTTAGCTATTTTTTCATAACTAAATATTTCAACAGTATTTTTTACAATTCTATCCTCTAGTTATTTTTAAAAGTTGGACAAAAATGAAAACAATTAGGTATGTAATTGAGAAGATGTAATGTAAAAGGCAACTTGCTTGATGAGTTCCCAAGACAGTTGAAAAGATAAACAGGAATATAATTTGGTCAGAGGAGATTGCAAACTAACAAGTCAGCAGGTGCATGGTGCCCTAGTAGATCAGATACAAGTGTTAGATGAATGGATAAAGCTAAGGAGATTTCTCACAGTAAATGTTCCCCGTACAAGGAACTAAAGGTACTGATAACTATGCTAATTAAGGCTTTATACTAGGGATAAAGTCATGGAGGTGATGGAGAAATCGGTTTCCAAATTGTAGCTTCTGCCATTTTGCCCATGGAAAGTTATTAGACTTACTTAATCTCATAAACCAATCTTGTTGAAACCTGTTTCCTTATACAGTGGCTCAAAAATTGACAGCAGTGCAAACAAAGGTAGTAAT